TGTGTGTGTGAGTGTGTGTGTGTGTGTGTGTGGCCCTGGATGTGACCAATATAGAATTCATGTTACGAGGGTGTTTGTCAAGGCAAACTTTTCATTGGGACAGGGGCAAAAGAACGGTTAACCAAATTGCAGACAAGCACAAATACATACGAACATACAAGAGAGAGAAATAGATGTGGTGAGGTAGAGGAGAAAGAGATAAAGGGGTTGGGGGTAGCGGGAGGAGAGCGATATTGATTTTTTGAAAATTGCTGTTGTTTGAGATTAAAAACGTGTAGTGCATTAAAATAGCCATTGTTCCACTAATTTCGTTTTATTTATGACTATTTGTGTCACGACACGGTGGAATCAGTTGTTCGTCAAGGTTTGGGTACATATAGTTATTAACATCATCACCTTAAGGCTTGCTAATTTGTCTTTCGTTTGGAGAAACAAATTACATATCAATCTGAATAGAATTCGAGACATTTGCGATTGAAGGAGGTGGGGTCGCCTGGTGTGAGAGGTAACGTTAGTGAGAAAATGGCTGCCAAAGTTTGGGGACTTCCAAAGCTTGAGTGTCCTTGGAATCTGGAAAGTTACATACTTGTAGTGCCTTTAATCAGCGTTTTCCTACAACATCCCCACATAAGTGAGTTGTTAAAATAATATAAAGGTGTTGAACCAAAATAAGAAATTCGAAAAAAAAGTTACCCAACGCTCTAAAAAATGCCGGTTTCTTTCATGTCATTGTTTTGACGAGCACCTGATTTCAGACGACTAGCTCGCGTTTGGCTCTTCACCATAAGTGTTCCCGTTGCTCAGATTTGAGTCTATTGCCAATACATTGCCCGGGAAGGGACGCAGAGCCTGCCAGTCTTACTGGGATATAACGGGTCAGAATTTGCTTTTCAAGTACAGTAAACACGCTAAAGCCAGATGTTATAGAAGGGCAATTACCCATGTAATCATTGAGCAGCCATGAAACCTCGGTTCGTGAGCACTTATCGGTCGGTGACTCGAGTACTTGAGCCCTTTCCGTTTATTCGACTTGTCTTGGAGTAAAGAAAACATTTTCGAACTGATGTTTGAGTTCGTCGGTGAATGATTTTGATATCCCACCATTAGAAGCGGGAATGTGGAGATGTGTGAACGTGTGTCCAAATGTGTGTGTATGTGTGTGTGTGTGTGTGTGTCTGTGTGTGTGTTTGTTTCAGTGTGTGTGTGTGAGTGCGTTTGTGTGTGTGTGCTTGAGAGTTGTGAGAGAGAGAGGGGGGGAGAGAGATAGTGAAGGAGAGGGAGAGAGAGAGGCACAGAGAGATATTCGGGAGAGACAGAGAGATAGAAAGAGAGAGACAGAGAGAGAGAGAGAGAGTGGACGTAGTGTTGTATGTTAAGTGGGGGGGGGGGGGGGGGAG